TTACGAATAATCAAATATAGTAAACTAGCTTCTTTATATTTGAGCTATGCTTGGCTTCTTCGACCTTATTTCTTACATATAGGCTTCATACTAAAACGGGCAACGATTACGACTCATATTCAAACAAGTTATTCATTAATCTCTTTTTATCTGTTCAAATGTTTTAGCTCAATATCAATGCACTCTCCTTAAAATATTCTATCTTACTTTTTCATTCCTTTTATTCTGATGCAAAACTAGGTAGTACAATAAATGTCTCTGCAAGTGAATTAGCGATTTACTTCTCTAGCCCCTCTATTCGCCCCCAGCTGCAGACCCAACTGTCAGTCTGCCGTCTTATTCCTGAAGTCTTGCCCTCAGCTAGTCAATTGGCTGCCTACATCGAAACACCACCTGCAGGAATTGACAGGCTAATTTGGCAACAGGTATTTTCCATTTTAAAATCACTGTTCCTTTTAAAAATGCAGGGAATTGCCAATGCTTACACCAGTTTTTCTTACTTTTGCATGGTCCCTATTACTTTTATTTCGGCTAATATTATGTAATATATATAAACCAACTTAATTTCATTCAGATCGTAGATATAGAAATCAAGATGGTGTGACCTGTTTGGTCGCAGTCTCCTTTAGCCATATTGACCTTGTTTTAACACCTTGCTCGGAGCAATAGGAAGAGCTTGTGGAACACACCTAGTCCTGCCATAATATTCTTTATTTACATTCCAAGACGTTTCCCCGGCATCGTTATTGAGAGGCGCCATCGTTGGCACTGAGTTACGACTTATACAGACGAGAAATTCATTTAACTCCCACGGAAGTGTACTGATTTAAAAATCTCATCGTGCAGATATTCGTGTTTGTTAAATTACGAGCTCATTTAAGTAGACGTTTTACTATTATTGATAGCCTATCGATCTTATTTATTGGTCAAACTGTTAATTAGACGATGTTATAGTCTACTCGATCTCATACACATTTTTTCTATATACATTCATAATAGAATTTGAACCAATTTCTTTATTATAAAGCTAAATTTAGTCATTTCATTCTTTAAGGCGATCATTAATAATAATATCCTTCCTGCTGCTTCTCTAATTTGTACTCATGATTAACTAGTATTTGCAGTTTTATCGAAGCTGAATAGTTTTTCCAGAATCCGATAAAGGAGACCCTTGTTTTTATTGCACACCAGATTTAGCCCCCCTTATCTTTATTATCATTTTCTTTAAATGAGACAATCTATAATACATTTATATCGTCACCAGTAAGATTTGGAATAATAACTATAGTCACCCTAGCTCGTTGGTTACATTATTTTAAGGCATGATAATCCAGTCATTAACAAGATAGTTTCTGGATAAAGTCATATACCTATGCGAAGCAACTATTTTTCATTTATTAATGGATTAACTACACATTTTTTATTTAGTTTACATTCCTCAATAAATCAGTTTATCCTCTTATTTTCTTAGCAAAAATGTGATCATTAAGCCTATATTTGGTCATAAAATCTTACATATCTTTAAGAAGATTATTCTTCTTGCAGGCCTGCGCTGACAACCCGAATCCGGACCGAATCTTGCCCGTTCCAATCATCGGACTTGGAGAGTTGTTGCGCCGACGCAATGATCAAGTTGCCTTTGCTGAGCAGCAGATGGTCTCCCTTAGAGTAAGCTTCCTAAATTTTTGTAAATCCTGTGGCCCTATTTTCATACTAAACTCTTCTTCAATAATTATGATATAATTAGAGATGGCCGAACCATGACTAGAATATTGATGTAAATTTTGTTAAAATCCAATTGATATCAGATGGGAAACAGATTTGAGATTAATCTCTTGATATACTTGACACGTTTAAAAAAATATCGCTGTCACGGTCCTCGAGGTTACCTTGGACTCCAGTAAAAACACGCTTATCCTTTCGAATTGAGTAGGGTTTCGAGGCTACCAGTATATCTGGAATACGAGCTTTAGTCTCCCTGGGTCGATTATGGTGTTAAAGGGCTAATAATAAATTTTTCCACAATTCGATGAATTAGCCTCACGATATATTCAAATTTCACCTAGCCTTGTTTACCTAAGGGTATAATTCTCCATAATGGTTTGTAGTTTTGACCTCGCCTGGGTCTCATCAATATCACCAACGGGAATCGAACACGTTTAGTGAAGCTTACACTTTTGACATGTGACCAATACGCCATAATAGCACGACTGTGTTGGTCACTGCAGAGTTGAATTTGATTGCAACCTAGGCCCCTCCAATACCACATTTGTGTGGTTGAATTGTCACTAAAACAAGCATATATTTGCCATTATAGACGAAAATTTTACTTTATTAGCTTTTATTCAACATTTACTAATAGACTCGAATTCATAATCTATTCGAATACAAGTAATATTGTTAATTCTTTGATCAAAAACTCTTATAACCTTATTCTGACATTGAACATCAGTAGTTCACTCACTTATTTCGAAGGCTAACAGGACAACAGCATCAGAAACCTGACAGAATGATAAATCCACTTGTTCTGTCCTCAATAGCTTTTTGTGATCATCCTATTTATCAGTATTTAAAAACGATTATCTACTAATCATCATAGATTCTTGCTTTTGACTATTTCCAGCTCAACCTGTGATTAATTCATTATATGAAGAGTAACTGAGTTTCGACTAATTTCTTAAGATAACATTATTCAGACTTTCATTTGATATGAAAGTTCATAATGAAGAGATTATTTAGTTATCTCATCGGAACAAGTCATCCTATTCATGTTGTCCTGCTGTCGTTTTGCTTTGATATGATGCTCAAGTTGACTCAGTTCGCGAAAGATTAACCCTCGTTTCGGGTAAAAAATTTAATACGAAATGAAAGTCTTTTCAATAATGCAGTCTTAAAAGATAAATCTACAAAGTATATATGGTGCAAATTCTTGTCAATTGCCTTCTCGTTACAGTATAACCAAATAAACTATCACCCATTAAATTAATAGAATTATTACATAGATATGAAGACCAAGCTGGTGTGTCTTTCTGTTTGGTTGCAGTCTCCTTTATTTGTTTAAGACTACACCTTGTTTTCGCAACCTGGTCAGAGCGGCAAGGAGACGTTGAAAATACCTAGACCTGTGTCTTTGCCATATTTTTGTAATGTCCAGCCTTGGTCTATTTACTTTGTAGATTCCCAAATTTTTTGCCGGCATCGTCAATTAGATACCATTGTTAGCACAGAGTTGCAACTTGTCAATGTGACGAATGAAGATAATCTCCTTGATTAATTTTCTGTTCAACTGTTCTGGCATCTCTCCTTGCCCCTATTTTTGTCCTACTTACTAGTGTTGCATCGCTTTCTTTCGACCAATCTTCATATGGCACAGTTACCTATTCACGCCATCCTGTGTTCTCGTTTCCTCCAATATCGTATCAGATTGTGTCGCTACAAGTGGATTTGGTGAAGCTTAATTACCACCACCGGTTTCAGATGCCGTTCGCAGGGCTTCTCATTTTCATTTAGCTCCCTTGGCAGTTATTCCTTATTATACATCAAAATCGCTGTCTATGAGCCTTCAATTTCTGTCCTTTTTTGCGTCATATTTGAGGATTTAAAGCTGGTGATTCTCATGCCTCGGCGTCTTCCTCTTTATTTACTTCATACCCATCACCCAATTATTCTAAATTCTAAATCCCTATTCTAATCCCAATTCTTAGTCTTAATTCTGAACCGCTGAAATGAAAATGTACCGCTTCCCTTTTCCATTCCTTAATGGCGTAAAGCACATTTTTTTGTTTCTTAATTGACAGTTCCATATAATCCTAAAGTTGCTTATATCTATCTTGGTTGGTATCTCTGCCTTTTGATCGGGCATGCCATGTGTCATTTCTCATTAAAGCACAGTAGCAATATGCAGATAAGCATACACACACACACACAATGGGGACCAATTTATTCTATTCACCCCAGGTGGTGTCCACACTGATGAATGTCGTAGCAACTTATATCCTTAGCCTAGCACCTTTAATGTTGTATGATCTGCATGTTTCTGGTCTTTAATTTTCTATCACACATCTCACAAGTGGGCCCACATCAGTAACTTCAGACTGATTTCAGGTTTGACTCCTCTTCCTGCAGTCATCTCTTCTTGCCTCACCTCCGTCTACTATCTCTCTGGTTCAAGTATTTTATTCGACTCATGCCACTCTATTTGTGCTACTCGAGGCATTATTTTAAACAATCTGCCTCTGGGAGACTAACTTGAGGCTAAAGTCTCCGAGTTATTCCCATGGTCAAGCCATTGCTTCATGGAAAACGTCTATGGTAAAACAGGCCAACTAACTATAATCTCCGCCACGTCTATCCTGTTTCTATCCTTAATACCAAGTCTATGACTGGCTATGCCCTAGTCTCTTGTGTGTTAACCAACAAATATTGTGGTTAAACATTAAATCTAATCAAAGCATGTAGTACCATAACATTTGTCGGTTGACATACAAGAGACTAGGGCATATAAAGGCATAGACTTGGAATTGGGGATAGAAATAGGATAGACGCGGCGGAGACTAGAGCTAGTTGGCTGACA